TGGAAACTCACGAACTTGAGCCAATCATACAATGTCGCTTTCCACGTGTATCTCTAGACAAAACATTTCAACGATGTCTCGTGGGGAATATGTTAGTGTCGCCAAACACGTTAACAAAGAACTCTGGCGGTAGTCACATGGGCGGAATCACCACGTAGCACGTGACGATGGCTGGTGGCCATGACAACTACTGTGGTCGTCATCAGCGCGCGCAACAGAAACCGGCATCACTGGCACCATCTCAGCCGCTCGGGTATCCACCCTTTAAAGACAATTCTCTGCCAGATTTTCGGTCATTCTCCATCACATCAACGTCGAACAATACAATCACCACGATGGGCGACGTCAACACCGGCCCAACCAATCACAGAAATCCTTTTTTTCGTGAGGACATTCGACCACTTATCCCTTGACGTTAAGTCAGAGAGCAGCTCGGTGATTCACCGAAACACACTAATTGTTGGATGCGCTGGAAAATAAGCGTCCTTGTCGAATTCCACCGGTTTCCGCACTCCGTCATGACTGTTTTGTGGGGCAACTTGTCGATTCCAACGTGTCCATTGTTCACGAGGTGACTGGGCAACGCAGCGAGTTCTGGACCAACTCCGGGACATTTCCAGGAACCCACACGTCGGATGTGGAAGCGAAGTGGAAGGCGTTGGAACCACTTAGGCATATCGGTGTGCCAGCGAGGAATGAAACACACTCTTTGTCGGGGTGTGGGGGGACACTTGTTCACAGGTGGATGTACAGCGAGTTCGCGGTGGTGACTTGCGCTGGCATAATTTACATTATTCAAGTTACAATATTTGACCTCGTGCTGTGTGTGGTCGCTAACTGCTTGTATTTTAAACGAACACTTTGCAAGTTGATTTAGAATTTCCCTGCCAATGTAAATACACAGATGCCACCTCTTCGAGCATGACGTTTGTCGTCACAATCAATACCACCTTGCATATCCCAATTTCGCAACCATGACTCCTAATATTGTGTAGCTTCGACCACCATCATTTACACACAATGACACACGTCAGAAAAATCACCGTTATGCACGTTAGGTTGGAAAAGAATGCTCTTCTGAAGCCAGTAGGTGGTCAAACTTTGAAGGCCAGGCTTTTCGAAATCTCACATGACCGATCATTTAGAAATTGGGTAATAGACGGACTGACTTTAAAAATTTTAATTTTCGCTACTAAGAACGATTGGCTGCTGAATGTGTAGATGTCATGTCGTTTCACAACTGCAAATTCGAACGAATGACCTCTCTTCATGCAGTTTGCTCGACGGAACCAATCTGGTCCAACCTCCCCACACGTCAGACAGTGTGCTCACTGTTGAACCACGCGTCGATGGAGTTGCGTTGAATGAGGATATCTTAAAACAGGAAGACCGGTGGCTCTGGAAATGTTTCAAGGTCACCAGTGAGGTGGTAGATATCTTGGTGTGAACGAGTTTCGACCGTGCAAAATTAGTCAATGCGCCGTTATTTTAACACCTCCACCATCCCCAGCCAACGGGAATTCCACGCTGATCTGAATCGACAACGCACCCCTGTTTTCAACCACCTCTGCAGGTTGGACGGCTCAACTGTTGACATTTGACTGGACATTAGACAAAAACACTTGTTTCTGAAGTTGCAGCTGCCAGTTGCTGGGTGGTAAACCTGGAATGCATTGGACCAGTTGGTGGACATTCGAGGGAGTCTTCTACTTCGATCTGATGCCACGCAGATGGTGTTGTAAATTCAAGCTCCCAGGAGTAACTGCTGGGGGTTAACTCAGATGGTAAGGAACACGCGTCATTCACCATCGGTTGGTTGAGGAGATTTGCCTTCTTGAGGCCTGTCAGTGTCTCGGAACACTTCGGTAATTCAACCAGTCAGGAGATCATTGAGCTCAATTCTTTACCTCTTCTTTCAAATAATTTCTGATGATGACTAGCTCAATTTCCCGATGGACACAACTTTAGCTGTAAAAATCGTCCCCAAAATGAAGAGACTGTCGATTTCTGCATTGCAGTGTCATCCTCAACCCACCACTAATCAGGAGGTGCCAAGTGGGTCTTTTTTAGATCTGAACGTGCGCATTTAACGACCTAGCGTCTGAAAGTCATTCTTCAAACCAACAGTGTTTTCGAGGTCCATCTTGACACTGGATTGCTACCTCACCTACATGACATCTAGTACCAACAAAAATTAAATTGGGACATCTTGATTGGTTCGAAGAGCTCGTCGAAGGAATCCAAGATCTTAGTTTGCACAATCAACTTCGAAGTAGATGTCTTCAAATTTTAGAAAAAGTAAGCATTTACAAGTAAACTTTTGAACTCCTAAGGTGGAGAAAAGTACACTGGACTGACGGTTTTGGTCCATGGCGCGCGCGCGCGTTAAAACTTTATAAACAGGAGTTGTCCTTAGCTTAATTTGGGCTTCACGGACGCATGTTGCTCGTTCGATAAAACGACGTTCGACATCTGAAAATTCTGGCTGCCAAAACGGCAGTTCCGATTCAAAGAGGTCTCTTGACTCGCTGGCAAGAACGCCGAATCCCCCGGCATCGAGCGACAGGTTAGCATCAAACAGTACTGGCCTGGTAAAACGTCCTACCGGAAGTGCGACGTGCACCGGGCCAGTGTTCGCATGCACCTGTGGACGATTTACGACTGAAAGTCCAGTGAGGGGATGCAGGGACTTCGGTGTTTCACAATTCACAGCATCCGAACGTCTGTTTATCTAGGCCTTAGTACACCAAGTATCTTACTAGCAGATTCTTAATGTCACTTTTTTTTTAAAAAAAAAGATTATTCCTGTCCCCACATTGCCTCATTCGCGGCGTTTCACTGTTGAAATGGTGCCCTGTGTCTGGCAAATTCCTCGCAAATACCCCCAACAATTAAACAGAGTTCTCGGTTGGGTGACTCCAACAGACAAAAGCCTCACTCTCGCGGCCTTAGTCTCAGCCAGAAATCTGCGTAAAACGCTTGCTTCCCTCCAGACCAAAGAGTGGGGTGCATAACGTCAAATTATTCAACAGTGTGTCCTCTGTGTAGGTCAAAGTGCGCGCCAGTTATTGGACAAGCAAGTTGACGTGTCTGTATCGACTTATCGCTGATCGAAGTCAGTTAAAACAAGGGCACCTCAACGGAGCTGGCCTCTTTGGGGGATCCAAAATGGCGAGAAAAACACAAGATTTCTTGTTTAAACTGACAGCCTGCAAATCAACCACAATCCTGTGATTCTGCTGCTCCCTGCGAGCTAAAAATTCGATGCCGTTGACGCATCTCATGCAAATTGTTTTTTTTCATAGACATCGCGAGGACGATTTAAACAAAAAAACCCGCGAAATTGGATGTTTATTTGTGTGTTCGTTTGCGTGCCTGTGTGGGTGTGTGCGCGTTCGCGCACGACTTGGCACAATCTCACTTCGAAGTTGTGTGTGTGTGTTTAAAATTGGTGTTTATGGAATGGGTTGTGGGAAGTCGAAGGTGCATGTTCCTCCATCTGTGGAATTCCTGACCAACGGTGCACATTTTAAGTCAACTGGTGCTTTCCACATTACAGGCATTATTTACAGCCAACCACACTTGTAAAACAGGCGTGCGCCCACATGATTTTCCAAAAATGCACAGTGCGGCGACAGTCGACATTGGCGTCAGTGCCTCGGAAAAAATCCGTTGGCTTTGCTAGCGTAAATACTTGCTCACAATTCTGCTGAAATCTCGTACATTGAGAACTGGGGTAGCGGTAATTGACTGAGCGAATCGTGCTCGTGACGGTTCATGAGTAAGCAGTATAAAAGTGAATCCATTTCGTGGAAGACCTTCTACGTGCTAGAACGTTTGCAGATGGGTTCGAGTCCTCTTACAGAGGTGATTCCGGACCCCGAGACCAACCCTGAGTCCGTGAGTGCGTTCAAGCGTTATGAAAGGAATATGGAGACCGTCCGACAGTATCCGATTTGTTGATAAAATTGAAATCAGTCACTCAGTCGCGGAGTGACATGCAGCCTGTGTACAATGATGCCTCACGACAGTGATGCAACCAGCAGATCGCGCCTCATCGGTGGTGAATAACCACACACTGTGTTCAGAGAATTGACAAGGTACAGGCGTCTGAAGGCAATTTCATTCAAGTTAGCATTACTAGAAAGGATGTCAAAGTAATTTAAAACGTTCTGGTAACGAGGTTGGATCATTTGTCATCTGCTGAAGGCAAAATGGAGGGCGAATCTTCTTGTCTTCGTCAAAACTGCCCCTACGAAGTCGCTTCAATTTCTTTTATCTCCACCTTGGTACGACTAGTGACAGACAGGAAAGAGACAAGCCAGTTTACTAAATGCCTGTATTTTTTGGAAAATCGCGTATTAGAAAAAGGAAACCTATCAGACATAAACAGGGGGAGTTGGAGGGTTCCGCTAGACTCTCCGTTTTG